CTATTCCCGAGCAGCCATGACATCAGTGCTGCCAGTGGAAGCCGGGCAGTGGGAGCAGTGTCTGCACCTAACGTCCCTGCACCTGCACTGCCTCCACTGAGTCCAGAAGTGGGCACCACCAGTGGAATCACTGCCTCTTCCACCTGAATTTCAGCTCTCAGCGTGAGCCTCCCACTACCAGAGGAGGAGCTGGAGCCAGAAAAAGGAATGTTGAGCGTGCTGGCTCAGGTAATTCTGGGGACTGAGGGGGAATCAGAGTTAGTGCTCCACACCCCTCAAATTTCCCCTAGACCCAGGTCTCCTCCAGAAAGCAGCACCTCAGAGGAGGCTGAGGTTGTGGAGGCAAGTGGCTCAGCTGAGGCAGCTCCTCCTGCTGTTCAGCCTCAGCCTGCTGAGAAGGGATAAGGCAGGATCCTCGCCCTCAACCCAGAAGTGGGGGAGTAGTGTAGTGTGGGATCATTTTGAGGTGGCAAATTATCCCAGGTTTGCCATCTGCCAGCACTGCCAAAGGCACATGAGCCATGGCAAGGACGTGAGGCACTTCTCCACCACGGCCATGCTGCTGCATCTGAGCCCCTTGCCCTTCTTCCTCCTCATCCTCAGCCTGGCACCAGTGTGAGTGTGCTGAAAGGGAAGTCCCCCACTTGCTCCAAAGCCCCCTTGAGCATGATGGTGGGCACGTGCGACCCAAAGGTGAAGGGGAGCATGTGCACTGGCAGCCCCAAAACGCTTGATCACTGAACGCAGGTGCTGGTGAACAAAAGGAGGCTGAGGTTCAGAGGCGAAGGGATGTGGAAGAGGGGGATCCATTTTCCCATGCCAGCACTCCCAGCACCAGCCAGTCTCCTCCTCGCCAGCCACTGCCAATGTGGGTCATGGGCAGGTAGCACAGAGGCTTTGGTGGCTACCTATCTTGCTGAGGATGTGAAGCCACTGGACTGTGACCCCTTGGCCTACTGGGCAAGCTGCAGCCAGATGTGGCAACACCTGTCCTGTCCACCAACCAGTGTTCCAAGCAAGAGGGTGTTCAGCGTTGCTGGGGATGTTGTTTCACCCCACTGCACCTGCTTGGATCCTATGTTGGTGGAGCAGTTGGTGTTGCTAAAGGTGAACCTCCCGCTGCTGAGCTTCCCCAAGCTCCACCTGCAGATGGACTGAGTGCCACCCTCCTCACTGTCTGCACCAGTTTCCTTTTTGGAGGTTTTGACAAGCCAAGTAATGCCCCGCTTTCAGCTGGAGGGGGCACTAACTGCATCACCAGCCAGCAGGGGAAGAACATTCCCTGCTGAGCTCATTCCCCTGCCAGGACGAACTTGGAGGTATGGGATTGGGGCTGGGGGGAAGGAGGAGGCCCCAGGTCCTGGGCATGACCACTAAAACTGCACCCTGCCAGGGTAGAGAGGCCTGGTGGGACTGCTGGCAGTGCGGCAGCCCTGTAAATGCCAGGACCAATGATCCCCTGGTGACAGGTGAGTAGGAGATTCCATAACCTCCATCTAACGCACGCACGCACGCACGCACGCACGCACGCTGTCCTGGCTGGGGAACGCCCAGACCTGTCACATCTTTGACAGGCCTGATGCTTGCTGGTTGCAGTGCAGTTGTGAGGCTCCCGGTGAGCTCAGCTTAGCTGCCCAGGATGCCAGCTTTAGGGTTGAAAACCCCTTTGTCAGGCTGAGGAAGTACCTGCAGTTGGTCCTGGATGGAAGCAATAATAAAGAAGACAGAGGCAATGCAGGCAAGAAAGCCAGTCAGTTAAAATGGAAATCGAGGCGTCAGGGGGTGAGGGACAGGCTGGGGTGGTGGGTAGGGAGGAAAAGGGGATGTAGCAGCTCAGGTAAAAGTGCAGAAGTACCTGGGGTGTCAGATGTCTGGCAGGTTGCAGTGTGCCAGAACTCCACTGCGTATATTGAGTCCATGAGTTTCTGTACCTACTACCTAGGAGGCTGATGAAGTGCAGTTCATAGGGCCAGCTCTGAAAAGTGGTTTGCATTGTAATTTAGTCCCTCTCAGGATCAGGTCTGAGAGACTGGAGGCAGAGTGTTTTTTTGGTGAGGAATGTGCCCCCACAGGTAGTTAGGTTTTGTTGTCTTTGATAGACTCTGGTGTGAAGTTTGTGGGGGTACTGGAGATAGTTGGCAGGTTTTGTGTTTTGAGCTGTAGGAAGTTGGCTTCAGTTCTGGTGATGAGGTTGGGTGCTTGTTTGTTTGTACAAACCACTTTTCAGAGCTGGTAAAAAAAACCCTCCTTTTTTTTCATAATACACACATAGACATAAAAACACAAGATAAGCCATCACACACCATGAATAACATCATGTGTCCCACACAACACAACATCTTTACTTCTTGCTGTCAATTCCTTTATAAAGCGACAGGCTCTGTCACAGTTCCACGTGGGTAGCTTTGCTGCTGCTGCTGATGCTACTGGTGTTGAGCCAGCTAAGTTATTGTACCTGTTGTCACGTAAAGTGGAGGACCGGGAGTGAGGCTGTAGGGGAGGAGGGGACCTCAGTGGGGCACACTGCTGTGTTGTGCAGCGGCCCCAGCACCAGAAAGGGCACACCTTAACACACACACACAGTGTCACCCACCCACATCACGAGTTTTTTCCTGTCAGCAGCTTGGGGTGCAGGGCCCCAAATGACAGGCTCCCCCAGCGAGACACACAGCTGGCAGGCTTCGCAGCCTGGCAGGGCCCGGCACTCGCTCAGGCCTACTCTAGGACACACTCACAGCTGGCAGGCTTTGTGGCCTCAGTAAGAGCTACCACCCCTGCAGTTTTGACACCCCCACCCCATGTTGTAACACACAGATGTGACAGGAGTTTTGCCTGTCACCAGCTTGGGGTGCAGTTCCCCCCCAACCCCTACACCGATCTTCTTGAAACTTGGCAGGCTTTGTGGCCTCAGTAAGAGCTACCACCCCTGCAGTTTTCAGTCCCCTGTGGTATAACACACAGCCATGACATGAGTTTGGCTTTCAATAATTTGGGATACAGTTCCCCGCAAACCCCTGCACCGATCTTCTTGAAACGTTGCAGGCTTCATGCTCTTAGCAGAGGCTACTATCCCTGCAAGTTTCATCCAAATAATACAAAAAACAACAAAGTTATAGATCTTCCATTGATTCCCCATTATACCCTAATGCCGGATCTCCGAGGCGGCTCCGAAGCTTCGGAGCCTCTTCGGCCAGATTGAGGCAGGAACCTGGTCCGGAGCTCTGAATTGGATCACGGCCATCCGAAGCAGCCGCATCCAAGAGCCGGATTGGATCACTGCTGACTCGCACAGCCCGACTACATTTGCTGAGCACAACAGATAAGCCTGCCTCTGACAGTGGCAAGAGTGAATGTTTTAGAGCTGGCAGCCTGTGGGCTGTATAAGGTTTGGCTCCTGCCCCCCGCTTTGTCCCTTGTTTGCCACTTCCTCCATTGTTCCAGCCAGAGTCTCCAGGCCCCCTTACCTCCTCCAGGTTCCAATTTCTGCCTCCATCCCAACAGGTGGGGTGATGCAGGGTGGTGCAGCGTGGTACAGGAAGCTGAGAGTGAACCCTGGGCTGTGCGATGTTGCAGTGGGGGGGCCCCTTTGAGGGGGTATGGAAGAGGGGTTTTTTCTATGTGCTTTCTGGGTGCCTGAAGCTTGCGCTGGTGTGGTCCATTGTCATATAGTCCCCAAGTGTTTAGAAGTTGTCCAGCCCTTCTTTAGAGAGAGAACATGTGAACAGGACATATCTATAGTGATCTTTGCCCTCTCATACCCTCCTTAGCATGTGCAGTCACTGGTTTAGAGGTGTTAGAGGATGCATTCATGACTGTTCTGTTGAATAACTATAAATGGATTCATCACCCATGAATTTATTCAGTCCCTTTTTGAACCTGGCTATCTGCCTCTATGACTTCCTGTGCCAGTAAGTTCCACACTGTGTAAAAAAAGTACTTTCTTTTTTTAGTTTTAGACCCATCACCTGCTAATATCAATGAGTTCTAGTCTATTGGAGCTTGGTGAATAACAGTTCTCCATTCATGTTATCCATGCTTTTCATGATGTTATAGACCAAGGATTGGCAACATGCCATCCATAAAGCTGCTGGATTCAGCACACAGAGGGGGCTTCAGCAGCACTTTAGTGTTGGGGAGCATCCATGAAGGGGAATTTTGCCCATGCCAGGGCCAGGTGGTGAGGAGCTGTACTGGGACTGGATAGCTGGGAGCCTTACCTGCATAGCCAATGCTTCTTTCCACTCCTCGGGTGTGACTGCAGTGCATCTCCCAGCTGCCCAGTCCCAGTATAACTAGTTCAGAACCTAGCATTGCATCTGCTTAATTAAGGTTATTTTCCCCTATGTGCATTACCTCCTACTTGTCAACGTTAAAATTTACCTGCCACTTTTTTGCCCATTCCGTTAACTTGATGAGACCTTTCTGTAGCTTCTCTCTGTCAGCTTGGGATGTAACTACCCCTATAATTGTCCTGCACATGAATCACAAGCTCTCACTCATAACAAATCCCTCATATGTGTAGCTCTTTTGCTTTTTTTCAGAGACCACATGCTAGAATTGTGCCAAATCTGTGGTGGTGTGTGTGTGCCTGTGTCATTTTTTTTATTATTGTGAAAGGTATTTGTTGTCAATGAGAGGTACAGTATTAGCTGTTAAACACAAAAGTTTAAAATGAGGAGAAAGACATTAGTTACAATGTAAATTAAAAACCAGATGATTTATTGCAGTTCTTTTTTCTTAGGCAGAATTTTCAGAGATCAACCTGATAGCCCATGCTGATGGCAATTATGCTATAGACATCCAGGTGTTTCGAAATGGCACCAAAGTTGTCAGGTAAGTAAAACTGTATAAAGTAAAATAAAATCAACAAAAATAATTTGGAAGAATAATCTGTGAATGGAAAATTTAACTTGGATTCCCTAGTAAAGTGTTCACTCTTTGGCTGTATTTAATGCAGTTGCAGGGAATCTTGATGAGACATGTATCATGGATAATGACTTAGGGAGTGTGTAGACAACTTGGGCATGAATGTAGAGTGCCTGAAAATTTTAGCACAGCTTTTTTTTGGTGCGGTGCATTTGTGTTTGCACAACATGGCATTCATGTTTGCACCAATGGCGCTTTCAAGCGAGTTAAGCCTTGTGTGTCATTCCCCGCAGATTTCAGTAGGGGGAGTCAAATACCAACTTACCCCCTGTAATATCTTCCCTAATGTATTACAGCAGGAGCCTCTCATTTGCTCAGTCTCCCCATTTCCCACCCCCAGACTCTCACTGGACAGTCCTGACTCTCACTGGAAGTCTCCCCGGTCACCCAGAAATCCTTGTCACTTGCACCTGCCTATGCTCAGTCAGTCTGGTCTCTCTCTGTCAGTATGCGATCCCAAAGACCCCATCCCAATCCCAAAGACAAGCTGTGTGAATCCTCCCCTCCCATTACTTTCCCTTCCCATCCCACCATGTTACAAATATATGTGTTTGTTTAATGTACTATAACTGCTATGATATCATAAAATGTTCAGGGTTTAGAGTAGCGGGTGTTTGTTGCCCCCTGCTTTATTGGCAATTGCTGTCGATGGTGGTGGTGGTGGCCAGCTCTTCTGGCTTTTTTTTTCCTGTTTTTTTTTGGACTACATTTGTCAGCATTCCTGAGCACATAGATCTTCGTACAGTTTCCAATGGGGGCTCCCATTGGAACCCTCCCATTCCCTGCCCAGGTACACTGTCAATCTGTTTTTGTAGTGCCTCATATGGCTTTTGGAGGTGTGTTGTGAAATGTTTTATGTTTTTGAAATGTTTTTTGAAAATGTGACACGCTGTTTAGCTTTGTTCCCCAACCGCCTAGCCTGCCAAGAGCTATAGTTAAGATTCTCAGCCATGTGTGAGGGGGAGGGGGTCATTCAGATGCGGGTGACAATGAGTAATGCCCCCCTCCTGCAAACCACTGACAGTCTGGAAGCAGCAAACCCCTAGCCCAGTCCAGATTTCCTCTCCCTTCCCCTGACTGTCCCTCCACCCCCTGTCTGCAACACCGCATGCTTTTGTATACAAACACAGATTTAAAGTGTAAATTAATTTATTTTAACATAAGCAAGAGAAAGAACAAAGCACTCTTAGGTGTTGTCATCGATATATCCTGCCAAACAATCACGCACAGGGGCCGCCTGACCAGCCTCTCCTTGAGGATATCTCCTTAGTTCCTGTGCTGCTGCTGCCTGGACATGTCTCTGTTGTCTGGCCGCTGCCTGTCATGCTTCTTCCCACAACTCCTTGAAAACCTCTCCGAAGCTCTCATAGATATTGTGCAGTGTTTGTGTAATGTAAGGCTGCCACTACAAAACCCATGATATTTTCTGGCTCCATCTTGTAAGTGCGTATGTGCCCTCCATAAGTCTTCGTGAGCCAGGACTTTAGGAGTAGGCAGTGTCCACTAATATAACTGGAAGAACAGCAACACTCCAGATCACTATCTCCTCCTTGCTGGGTGTGTAGTATCCTTTTTCCATGAGGCTAGGCAGAGGGGAGTTTCTGAACATGCATGCATTATGCATGCTGCCAGCCCACCCAGTATAAATGTTTGTGAGCCAGCCCCAGTGGTCCATCATGGCTTGGAGGATCATAGAGGCATATCTTTTCCTGTTTGTGAAAGCCCTCCCCTTCCCTGCAGGTCACAGCATTGGGATGTGAGTGATGTATAAAGCCCCCACGCAGTTCAGGAACCCCTTCTCATTAAAGCAATCTGTGACTTGCTGCGGATTCACCAGGCAGCTAATTTTGTTTTTAGCAATCTCCTGTAGCAGCTGGCATACCTCATGAGTTGCCAGCCCAGCTGTGCAGGCAGCCATGCCAAACTGGTTCACGATGTAGCAGAGGCTGGAAGGGCTGGCCAGTTTCATGATGGCCATTGTAACCCCCTTCTCTGGTGGGATGGCCCAACATATGTTAGTGTCCTGCCTCAAGATGTGGGGCCCCAGCATCAAGACGATATAATAGAACATCTCTCTGTTCATTTGGAACATCTCCAGCCACTGCTGGTTGTTCCAACTCATCAACACGATTCGCTCCCCCCAGTCCAAGATGCTCTCACGGGCCCAAACTGTGCGGATTCTGGTCCTCCTTAGGTTTCTCAACAGAGCCCAGTCAACTTCCACTTCTTTGCTTTCCTTGTGTACCTGTTCCAAGTCCACTGGGCTCCTGTATCTTCTTATTATTATCATTAATGCTGTTAAAGCAGGAACGCAACTTGCCACTGAACAATCTAGCACAGTTCCTATCCTTCTCAAGCATTGCAGCAGTAACCCCCAGGTAAACAGCATTTGCATAAGCAGTACCGCCACCACCTCCTCTTCCTGCTTACCCATGTCCTCCATATTCTCCATACTGGAGAACTCTTCACTATGTTGTTCAACATTGCCATGCATTTCATAGATTTCATAGATTTCATGGACATTATGGCTGAAACGGACCTCGGAAGATCATCGAATCCAGCCCCCTGCCCAAGGGTCAGGAAGTCAGCTGGGGGTCATAGGATCCCAGCAAGATAAGCATCCAAATTTCTCTTGAAGGCGTTCAATGTAGGTGCATGAACCACCTCCAGTGGCAGGCTATTCCAGACCTTGGGGGCTCAGACAGAAAAGAAATTCTTCCTTATGTCGAGCCTGAAATGGTCATGTAGTAGTTTATAACCATTCAACCTCATCATCCCTTGGGGTGCTCTGGTGAACAGACGTTCCCCCAGATACTGGTGGTCACCCCTTGATAAACTTATAGGTGGCCATCAGATCACCCCTGAGCCTGTGCTTTTCCAGGCTAAAGAGCCCCATGACTCTCAGCCTGTCATAATAAGGTCTGTTTTCCTGACCTCTGATCATGTGCATGGCTCTTCT